GCTCATGCTTGACACCGACTCAAGCGGTATGGATTTTGAGTAGTAAACGGAGTTCTGAAACAAATGAAAACAGTTATCTAACGGACGATGTGGTAGCATCTGACTAACATGAAATTTACACGTTACTTACCAAGATAACTAATGGTGATGGACGATCCTGGCGTTTGTTGTTTCACCCTTCAAGCTTTGCGCACAGGATGACTAGTTTTGCCATTGAGAAATCGTGCGATTTTAGTGCGCGTTTTCAGCTGATAACCTTTAATCCGTATGTTTTTTTCCATCCCTTGTAATTATTCGAAATAAAATACTGGAAATTTTCTTTTAACTTTTAATGTCTAGCGCATATCGTCACCGTGTTTCGTTGCTATTCGTTTGCTTTTAGAAGTTCAGAATATGAAAAAGGGTTGTCCACTGCCCGTCAGCACCTTTAGATTTGACAACGAGGCCGCCATTAAAGATGCAGAGGTCTGTCTATCCCATAAAGTCGCTCTTTTATAGAGAATTTCAGTTTATGTTGTGATGCTATACACTCAGTTTGTGTCATTCGTCACTATATGTCGTTCGATTTATGGACCGAGTCTTACATCTTAAAAAATATAACCTCATTCTTTCTGTTTTTGCAGGAGGGCATATACGTTTCGAAACTTGTCGGAGATGGCAAATTGATTGGCAGCTTCGATAACGTAAATTCTGTCTTCAATCTCCTTCAAAACACTGTCGCGCGTTTCCGTAAGTTTATTCGTGTGACCGTTCGTTGTCTTAGCCGAGTGGATCTTCTCAAGTCTCAACACGCTGCCTTCATATTAAGTAAATCAGTTCATTTCTAAGCAGGCCGACCATTTAGTACTATGAAAATATTTTTGAGTTCAGTCTTGACCAATTTGAGTGATTAATACGAAATCACCGTTACAGGAGCCTATGCAGTATCAGTTACTAAAACGAAACAGTTTTGACCTTTGATTAGATAGAAACTGATAACATAGAATTCATAGGAAATGCTATTTATGGACGAAATTCCTTTTTGCTTTGGCAAAAATGCAGCAGGCATGGATATGTATCATGTCATCCTTCTCGGTAGGGTTAGTCCATTTTAACAAATCACTGGCTTCAAAGTCAGAAGGCCATATGTCCCCTTCGTTGCTTTATCTCCAGACGGCCTTCTTTACTTTTCACCGCAGTTTTATTTGCTTTTCTTCGGTCTATTTTAGCCGATCGGCCCTTTCTCGGTCGACGGTCGTCTCCGAACGGACCTTATGAGTGGGTAAACTACAAACAGGTCTGTCTTCTCTATTTCTTGTCCGTTTAAATTTAATTCAAGTTGTAATTGATTTGACTTTCTAGGCTTAATTATACAGAGCACTATTGCTGTCACTTGTGATAGTTATTTAACGACTCGACCACTGAGATGCCCTAAGCTAAATATTTTTTTGGATACCTTGGTACTTTTGTTATTATTAATTACGGCCATCACAATTACATGCTGCGCACACCACTTTCTTCCAGAACATATACCCATGCCTGGCACTTAGCCAACAGTGTTTTATCTTCAAAATCCCAGTTACGTTTGATAAAATTCAGCTTATTGCAAATTTGTATTCGTCCATTTTGGTTATTCGGCCGCTCGATTCATGTCATTAATGCAATCTAAATGTTCCCTTTCCCAAGGCATACGAAACCATTCTTCTCTGCGGCTCTGGATTACTACAATTAAAGTCTGTGGCTTCTAACTCTTCGAACTGTGTCGGTCTTTACGCGACAAACTGTCCGGAGGTAATTGTCTACTATTTTGCCACTGTAGTTGTGCGTATTGTGCACTCAGGCTTTTTTTTCAGGTTTGGCCAAATATAAATTAAAGTAGGTTTTATTTCTTCCTCTGGCTAGTGCATCATAGATCTCCCCTTAAAACCAGCACTTGCTATTACGAATGGTCGTAGCTTTTAGTGGACGGCCACGGCATACTCCCCTCAGTTTTCAGCCAAACGGTTTATTAGTTTTTTTTGGTGGGCAATTTACTTTTTCTGCCCTCACTCACTACTCTCGCGGCACTGTATGGACATAGGCAAAAAGGGGGTTTATGAGTTTAATTAATGCAAAGACTGGCTTATAATTAAACTGCGATGACTTTCTGCGCATGAGATATTGTTGCCGCAGCAATGCTAAGAAGTTGTCCAAGGCAAAAATCTGAAGTCTGACGTCCCTTGGTTCATGTTTTGACATTTGCAAAATGCTGTTATCAACTTACGTATGCGAACACACTATCTTTTGGTAACATCAAATTTTCTCATTTTAGTGGTTGATCTCGGAGTTAGGTTGTTGGGCTTACGGTCTTGTAGCTGTCCCCCTCTACGACACCCTCGGAAGCGATGCCATAAAACACATCTGCAACCAGAGTGAGCAACCATACACTCCTTCTTGATTGTTCTTATTGTATATGTTCTAATCTCCGTTCTGCGTTGGTCTCTGCTGTGTCAAGTGTTTTTTTTTTTAAATTTGACATCATTTCGAACACTAGACTGCCTGTCTTATGGAAGCTTCTTAACAATGAGATAGCTAGACGGCTACTGCCCAATATGTCTCTCCTAACTTCTTTGTTCTTTAACTTTTCACTGTAGCTGAGCTTACTGTGGTTGTGTGCGACACGCCAAAAAGGGCCCGCTGTCTAATCTCCAGCAAGTCTAGTCTACCGCATCTGCAGACAATCGTGATTATTTCCCCTGATGGGGATCAGGACAACCTCCGAAAGGAAGCGGAAGGCCAAATTGAAATTATTCTCTTTGAGGAACTTTTGGTACGTAAGCTGTGATTGAATTTACTCCGAAAGATTATCCTCCTCCTCCTTCGTCTCCTCAGAGAAATTAGTTCAGGAGTCAATCCGCGAATGTGAAATGCAGCTTTGGGCTGCTTAGCCGTCAGACGTGCGAGATGGTTTTGCGGATCTGATTGTTTCCACTCGGACATGGGTGCCTAAATGCATAGCACAACACTGCCTGCAAAATGTTTACCTACATTTTTACTTCTATTATGCCCGATTTTGTAGGGACTGAATTTAAATGACTGCCTCCCTTTGCACTGAGCAGGAGTTAGCTCAAGGTCTTCAGAAATGTGTTCTGTGGATCTTACTTCCCATAAGATGAAACTAACCCACATGTATTCGATAGATTTAATGCGACATGTATACACTTGCGAAAAGACCTACGAATTCAATGCTGGTTTTATCTGTTATGTTTTAGAGCCTGGGTGCGAAAGACTCAAAAGAACCAGCGGTAAGTTTACCGTTTACAATGAGACACGGAGTCCTCCTTCCCGTCCCTACCATTTCTAATAACTGGATTAATGCCGCAATAAAGACTAGCCGCAAAGTGCCCTGATTGGCCTCTTTTGACCCGTCATTTAGGGAGAGTGAAAGAGGGCGAAAAGCTATCTCTACGAGTTTTGTTTTTGCAGATTTCTACTTTTTAAAACTCTAGCGCAGTGACAGTTCCGGTTTGACCATGCTGTATAATACGGTTAACATAATTCATTTGAGCAGTTAGAATGAGTCCAGTGTTGGAAAAAGTTTATTTTTCCGAACGTTCGGCTTTTTGCTCAAGTTCCACCTCAGGTATGTGGGAAGGGTAACGGGAAAAACAATTTAGATGTACA